CTTTCCTTTACACAATCTATTGAGATAATCTTCTAATTGAATGCGTTATTACAAGTTCGAATTTGGGATAGGAATAGTTTGTGTCATGTGTAGATATAGGTTTAACTCAGTTCGAAAGATGTTCGAAAGATATTGTTAGATAATATAGGATTATCGATTCTTAATCCAAACATAAATCGAGTTAAAATGATATAAACTGAGAATTATAATGAATACTAACGATGGAGTCGAATTCCTAGCACATATTTTCTATATCGATGTCTTTTCTCTAATTTTACATTTGCATTTAGTTAATAGTTATAGTATAGAGTTTGCTTGATTCTAAGCTCAAATTGATCAAACTCAAACTAGATGCTAAATTCTCATGGGAACAATACTCTTTACGCAACCAATGATAAAGTGTCTTTTTCAACGACAATAACATCATCATCTATATATACAAGAAAAACAATTACGTTGGTCCACTGATTATATATATAAATAAGCAAATATAATATCTACTACAAATGAAAACAATGTAAATAAACTAGTGTTGGGTTTAGCAAACCAAGCATTTTGTTACTTTTGTGTTTCGTGCAGTTCACTAAATTTGGACAATTTTGCCCTTGACTTTTCTGGTATCGGTTGCTATTTTTTTCTGTTGCTGTAGTTGCCGAAAGTTTTGTGGCAAATAGTGGGGGCCTAAAGCTGTAAAGTTCGCATATTCCATTCTCGGTATCATGTTTTTTTCTTTTTGTTATTGCAATAAAAGCTATCCTGTGAAGTAGCCAAATACCTTCTCGTATTAGAGGTGATCGTGTGTGGATGGCCATTAGGTTTGGAATTATGGGTTACTGTGTGAGGTAAACATTGCATATTGCTCCACGTAGGATATTATTTGGTAATTCGTGCCTTAAATTCTTTGTGAATTTGATATACTGAATTTTTTTGCGAGTCTAATAAATTGTGTTTTAGATTCATTGTTGATAGTGTTGGCATATCATTATTTGCCATTAGTATTGACTGCGACCTTAGGAAAGTTTGATTGTCTATTATGTGTGATTTGCGTCTCTACATTGCTTGTGGTCGTTGTGTGGTTGCATTTTGTGTTTTGTGAATTTTTTGGTGAAATAACAATACATTTAGAGTTGGGTATTTTTAATGGCAAAAGTGTTTTCGATTTGAAAACAAAAGATGAAAGTCATTTTTGTTCAACAAAAAGGTTTTTAAAGCTATCGATGATAAATGTAGGTCTAAGTCGGGAAGGGAAGGGAAGGTAAGAGTTGTTATAACTGTGGTAAATCTGAATATTTTATAAGAGACTATCCTAAAAATAATAATAAGCAGAAACAAAAGTGAGGGGTAAGACGAACGTGCTACTGGATCTAATTATAATTCGAGTGAGGTTTAATGATGATAAACTCTCTTGTTATTATTAATGTATTTGCACCTATGTGTGAAATCTCATTTACATAGATTTAAGAGTGATCATGTTACTATGTGTAACGTGTTGCATGCATGGTGGTCGGATTGGTGTTGTGAAGTTTGACAATGTGTGTATTCTCACTTTAGTTATTAGTAGGTATATTAGTAGTAATTGGGTTCACTGAAAATACTGAGAATAGATGTCCGATGGTGCATTGGTGACATGTACGAGGGATGTGGAAGAATGACATTTAGATCACTGTGAGAAAGTGACACTCCCATCACTTCTATTAAGGTGGGAGACCCATTATCGACCTAGTTTAGATGAGAGATGGTAAGGAGTGGTAGGGGAACATTCTATTGACTCGGGATCTTTAGTGAATTACCAATTAGGCGTGAAGAGTGAGCAATCTAGTGAGCATTGTTCACAATGAGAGGAGAGATGTGTTTTCAATATACGAGTTACATGGAATGGGATAGGTTAATTGTGGTAAGATCTTTTCTTAGGAATCATTTATGCATTGATTGCATATGTTGACTATTTATGTGATTAATTTTGTGTTAAATTTTGTTCTTTTGTGTATTGAACATGATCAAATGATTTATTTATATTAACTTATGGTGTGCTTTCATCGCATGTGTAGTGTTGTTTTGTCTGAAGTTATAACATGTGTTGTTTTTCCTGAAGTTATATTACTTGTTAGTTAAGTATAAGGTGCGTAGTTTGGCTGACTGTGTAATTTTTATTGTATTGGAAATTGACCTTAGCCCTTGATGAGTACACTTAGCAGATATGGTATATATTTCGGGTATGAAACATTGGTAAGATCTATGACTTCCAATTTATTTTGGATATGTCGATTAGATAAGTATTAACTTGGTGTTTTTTTTGCTTGCAAGTTTGTTAGGTATCAAGGTGAAGATTTGCTGGGTTTTTGTTAATACCCAATAAATCTCATGACTATGATGTTTACGTTTTAAGTTGTATTCATGGGCTTCGGCCAAGTTTGAATTAACACCATAAAATGGGACTCAAACCAAAAGCTCGACCTAAAACTTAACCGAGCAATTTGAAGTGGTTGCTCACGGCCCATTTAGTATAAGTGATGACCTATTAATTGGGTACTTACAAAAATACCCTTAAAATTAGGGATGTTTTAAAAAATCATATGAAAAGTTTTTAGGAAGTAAAAAATACTGTGTAAAATGAAAAAGTGACAAAATGTTACTTTTTTATAAAAAAATGTCACTTTTTTACTTTTTTAAAAAAAGTGACGCGAACTCAAAAAAAGTGACAAAACTAAAAAAAGTGACAAATACCAAAATAGCAACATCCATTTGTGCAACACCAGTAATCATGTTCTTAAAATAATAACCACGTTCAGGCCAATCCACATGCTGATTACGTAAAAAAAAGTGACAATGAAAATATGATTTACTGTCACTTTTAAAGTCAAGTGTCATTTTTTTGTTAAAAATGACATACAGTGTCAATTTTATTAAAAATTGATGTTTGTCACTAAAAAGTGATAGAAATCAAGAAGGTGACTGAAAAAAAATGATAAACATTAAAAAAAAGTGACAAATTTTAAAAAAGTGACAATTCAAAAAAGTGACACAAATTAAAAGAAAATATACAGATTAAAAAGTAACAAACAATAAAAAAAAGTGACAAACTCAAAAAAGTGACTAAATTAAAAAAAAAAGTGACACGAATTAAAA